TAAAAATTTTTAAAATTATGTCACATCATTAATTGGTATACTAGTTAGTACATTAATTTGTGCATATAGTACCATCGGATTTTATTAGGGTAAATCATAAATATATTTTTTGAGATTTACGTAAAATACAAATTGTCTCTTATAATTCTGAAAATTATATTTCACCTTTTGAAATTTTTAATTTCATAATAAATAGTCTAATTTATTAATAAATTATCAAGTCAATTAATAATTTTTAATGATTTCATAAATTTATTTCAATTAATAATTTAAGTAATTTTATTATTATATAAAAGAACAATAATAAATTTTATTTCTTCAATTAATTCTATTAAATAAATTTTTTTGATAAAGGGTTTTTGTAATGTTTCAAATCACAGGGTAATTTGTATTTTAAACAAATCTCATGAAGTATATTTGTAATTTATTCTTTTTATTATTTGAAACTTTTACAAAATGAAAGTTTTTTTTATTAAAATAAAAAAATAAAGGATAAATTATAAATACATCCTTGAGATTTGATTAAAATATGAATCACCCCCTGTGATTTTAGAAATTACATTTCATCCTCTGAGATTTTTAATTTCATAACAAATCGTCCATTTTATTAATAAATTATCAAATCAATTAACAGTTTTTATTGATTGATGTTAGAAATATGTTTTAATTAATAATTTATGTAATTTTATTATTGTATACGAGAGAAATTATGAATTTTATTTTTTTAGTTAATTCTGTTAAATAAACAAGGGGAGTATTTGTAATTTTTCGAACTATAGGAGGCGATCTGTATTTTAAGTAAATCTCATGGGTCTATTTATAATTTTTCCAAAAATAAAAATGAATCTTTGAATAAGAATTTTTTTTTTTTTTTACTGGACTTGTGGACAAGGAGTGTTTATAAGCCTTTTACCAAGGTTGGGTCTTTAGACAGATGAAAATTATTATTAGATTGTACTATTGATGGCCTTTGGACAATAAATATTTCTTTTTAGACCTTTGGAGAATGAAGATTTTTTCTTGTTGTGCCTTTTGACATTAATTTTTTATTTATTTATTTTGAAGTAACTTAAAAATGGATGACCTTTTCAAAAAAAAAAAATGAGGCCTTAAAAGACTCAAAATGAGAAAAAAAAAATTAAAAATTAAGGAAAATATGGATAAATTATCAAGCCATTTTTTGTTAGAGGGCCAATTGTTTGATTCAAGACTATGCAGGGCCTAAAAAAGACCCAAAACAATGTTTTTATTTTTTAGACCTGAGAACTACAAGCCAGGTCATTCGAACCCGATCTTACAAGTTAATTTAAAGAAGATGTCGATAAATCCACCCTTCACACCCTAATTTTAGTTAAGAGCTATAAAAGAATTAGTAATCCAAGGCTATTAGCTAGCCAATTCATCAAACTTGGGGAATAAACAAAACAATCTCACTGTAGAGCTTTCCTCCCATAATAAAAAAAGGGCAGGGCTTCTGTCCAGTCCTTAATTAGATTGGACCGTGTTGTTGGGCCTATGGAGGCCCATCACGGGTCCCGTTTTGATAATCTGAATCGTCAATGTGTATAACTCGTCGAGTATTATATGTCTGTAAAAAATCACGTTAATCGGATATCGATAACTATGTGATGAAATCAGTTTTGTATAAAAAAAAATGGACGGTGAATAAATTAACGGTTGACAAAAATCTGTTTTGATCACATAACTATCGATATCCGATCAATGTGATTTTTTACAAGAATATAGTATTCAACGAGTTTTACACATTGACGATTCAGATTATCAAAACGAGACCCGTGATGAGCCTCCACAAACTCAACAACACGATCCAATCCGATTAAAAATTGGACAGAAGCCATTCCATAAAAAAAAATAGAAAAGAAAAGAGCTTTCGTCTGAAGATGAGAAAAATCAAAGAGGCGTCAGAAAATGGGAGAAAAAGCAAGACCCCCATCCGATTCCGTTTGTTTGACTACACTACGAAACCAGACTCTTAAGACGTGTTTGGCTATATAAGTACTGCCGGTACACACTACTGTTAAAAAAAACGTGGGAAATAAGAATTTTAAAATATTTACCAATTATTAAAAAATTGTGAAAATTTTAATGCACAAAAATTTCAAAATGCTATTTAATAGTTGTGAATATTTTTAAAACAACCCGATATAGTTTTTTTTACAATTAAAAGTTAATAATAAAAAAATTTAATGCTAAAATCACTCCTTTTTTTTAGGCAATTATTTTTAAAAAATTTATTTTAACTATTCTGCTTTGTAAACCTATAATGATAAATTATAGCAAATATTTTGACATACTCAAAGAAAATATTCTCTTAGCTAGTCCCTAATCTATCAAATTATTCTTATTTGGGTCTAAACTGTAACAATTGTTGATCTTTGTTACAAATACAAAATTAGTTCACATGCCCTTTGTGTCTTGCCAGTAATTGATTCTGTAAGATCCATTTGTGAGACTTATCTTTTGTATCTTGTTTTATGATCGATTATGTGAATAATTTGTGTACTTATCTTTTTTCGTTATACTTTTGTAATGAGATTAAAGTAAGTCACACTTTTATCTTAATGTATGATTTATTCTTACTTTACTCCTTAATGAAAAGATATTTCACTTTAGTACTTAACCTCTAAAAAAAATAATTAAAAATAAATAAAAATAATTTCTGTACGGGGAGGAAATAATTCTCCTCGTATAATCCTGTTGACCAAGTCCACGCTCCTCCGTACGACGTCGCTTTGTCACCTGAAAACACAAACGTGAGCTAGCCGGCAGGTGTGTGCCGGAAACCTCTCCGATGCCTAAGTCAGAAAACTTGCCAAAAATTACCCTCTCAATTTCTCTCAATTACAACTTACCACACCATATGCTAAAATATTGTCTCATAACACTTGAACTTCACTGTCTCCTTATTTTTCCATTATCATTTCTTCACTATGCACCTTTCTATCTCATTGTCCTCACTGACTACTTCTCTTTCTTTTGCCCCTTCCCAACCCACCCTTCATCTGGTCCACTAACTTTTACATTTTAATTCATAACTTCTTTACTCTTCAAATAACACGCATTCATTGTAAATTTTCATTTCTTTCATACAATATAAAGATGGTTTTTGAGATTGGGTGATTTTGGAGGTGGAGTGGAATGATTTTGAGATTAGGATGGGTTTAGATCTTGTAAACCAAAGTGAAAGAATTAAGTTTGTTAGGGACCAAAATGAAAAAAATTTAATAATTTCAAAATCAAGCTAAGAAACTTTAATTTTAAAATTTTTAAATGGGTGTTTGGCATTGATTTAAAAAAAGTTACATTTTGTAATAATATATATTTTTTTATTTTTAGTTATATTTCTTTAAAATTATGTTAAAATTCTTTACATTTTGGGCAAATTACATATACCTCCTCGAGGTTTAACAAAATTATAGATATCTCCCTGAGGTTTGAGAAATTACAGATACCCCTTGAAGGTACTATTTGCATAACAAATTAGGGGGCAAATTGTTATGAAAATATAAACCTCAGGGAGATATCTGTAATTTTCGAAACCTCAGAGAGTATCTGTAATTTAGCTAAACCTCGAGAGAGGTATATGTAATTTGCCCTTACTTTTTCGATCCGTGATGTCCTTCATGGATCTTTTGCTTTTTTTTTTTTTTTTTTGTAAATTTTTTCAACCTTTTCAATTTGTCTAGTCGAATAAAATTGAAAAACTTAAGAGTTTGTTTGGTTTTATCTCAAGATATCATGTGTGTTTGGTTTAGCTTTGAGAGAAAAGTTTTAGAAAAAAAAATTCAAAAAATTGTTTGGTTTAAGAATTTTTCTCAAGAAATTTTCAAAATCACTCTCTTTCTTACACATCAATCGAATCAAAAACTTTTTCTTTCTCCTCTCTCATTTTTAATCATTTTTTTTCTCACACACATCTACTCAATTACAACAAAACATTAAATCATTCAAAACTCCCAAACTACTTTAAAAATATACAACCAAACAAACTAAAAAAAATTTTAAACTCTTTTTCCAAAACTTTTTTTGAAAATCACTTTCTCAAAAGCAAATCAAACACACCCATAATTTTGGAGAAAATTTTTTAAAATTTTGTTTGATTTAAATTTTTTGAATTTTTTTTTTTAAAATCATTTTCTCTCTCTTACACATCAATCAATTATTTTTTTTTCTCTCCTCTCTCATTCTTAATCATTTTTTCTCTCACACACAATTCAACTATAATAAAATATCAAATCATTCCAAACTTTCAAATTTCAAAATATACAACTAAACAAATCAAAAAAAATTCTAAATTCTCTCTCCAAATTTTTTTAAAAAAATTTATCTCAAAATACAAACCAAACACACCAAACTTTTTGAGAAATTAAAAAAAAAATACTAAAAAAATCACCGAAAAAACAAACCCAAACACAACAACAATGATTGGAGTAGATAATTGGACAAAAAAAATTGACAAATAATTTAAGGACCAAATGAAAAATAACCTATACTTCAGAGGTGCAAATGTAATTCATCTATATAAAAAAATTATAAACAATTGCAAGAAACAAAAGAAACCAAAACAGAACGATCCGTGCATAAAAAGCATCTAACGGACCAAACGGCTCTAAAGTCATCTAACGGACAAAAAACGCTTCTTCCTCATGCTTGTTCCCCCACGTAACACAATTTGCGCTGAAAAATCTTCAAAACTATAATCCACTGCGCTCGAGTCCACGACAAAAACCATAGACTAGCAAATCTGGAGAAATCTCGATACCACACACTACTCTAATTGCACCACGTGTTAAAAAGTCACACACACTATCTATAAGTCCCTCGGTGACCGAATCATTCTCTCTCCACCATTTCACCTACAACTCTTTGCGACGACTTCAAAGCAGCCACACATCTACGCGTCTATCTGTGACTTTCTTCGAGGGTTCCGATCTCTACAAATCACCGATTTAGGTACTCATCTCTCTCTAGATAGATAGATAGATCGTCCAGAGTTAGGGTTTGTAGTTCAATTTTGATTTTGTTTTTTTGAATTTGTAGTTATTATTTTTTTTTTTTTGGAATTGGTGTTGGATTGATTGAATCGGTTGTCGGATTTGAAGATTCAGCGATTTGGTGAGTGGTTTGATGTGTTGCTTGCCTGATTTCTTTATTGATTTAATTATTTTGTTGAGATGTTTCTGATTAGGTTTAGATCTGTGTGTTTTGTGGTTATATATGCTTGTAATGTAGATCTGAAATAATTTGATGAAGAGAAGGCACAATCTTTGATATAAAAGTATGAGATGGTTAGTGGTTTGATGTGATGATAGTTATTTCGTTGAGATGTTTCTGATTAGGTTTAGATCTCCGTGTTTTGTGGTTGTATATGCATGTTATGTAGATATGAAATAATTTGATGAAGAAAAGGCACGAATCTTTAATAAAAAGTGTGAGGAGGTTTGTGAATGACATTTTTTTTTGTAATCTTTTGTATCATTTCGCTTTGTTGATGTTATAGAACATTAGATCTTGAGGTTTCTATTTGTTAGTGGTTTCTATTTGTAAGTTGATGTTATATTTCTGCTAGTGGTTTCTATTTGTAAGTTGATGTTATATTTCGGCTAGTCTAGGTTGTGGGTAGGTTTTCTTTTCAAGGACAATGAATATAATGTAAAGAAAATTCTTTGTATCATAAGTATTATGATTGAGTTTGGACCATGGATTTGGATAGGGATGTGGATAGGAAAGGGAAAAGGTGGGTGAACACTCAAATCCTTTTTCAATTACCTAGCCAAATCCATGATCCAAACACAGATGGCGATATGTTTGCCCTATTTTCTTTTTGTGAAATGAAGTAATATTTTAGGTTGAAGAATAAAGATATAACTTGAACATTTTTATTCAAATTTATTGGACCTATGCCTGTACCTCAATTAATGGTTACATAAGTTATTTTTATGATTTTAAGTTATGCCATAAATTTTTCCTATTGTTTATCATGGTATTTCATGGCTGCTGCAGGACTTGATTGCAAGAAGTATTACACAAGTAATTGGGTAATTTGTCCGCGGCAACTGATTGGTTTAAATTTCTCTGCAGGGTTATATATTGAAATGAGTCGTCCACAGGAACCACATCGTCCTTTCTTCCCATTTGGGAATCCATTCAAAATGATGCTACCTAAGGGTTCGTATCTGTCTCCAAGGCTTCTTGCATTGTTGAACACTTTTGAGGAATCCTTGGCAGAGAGATTTAGGAAGCTTAAGCCAATGGACAAGGAAGATGTCCTTACTTTTTCATGGATGAGATTTGCAATGGAGTTGCTTTGCCAAACTCATACCGACATAAAAACTATTATTACTGAGCTTGAACTCCCTGTCTGTGATTGGGATGATAAATGGATTGATGTGTACTTGGATAACAGTGTGAAGTTGCTTGATATTTGCAATGCTTTTAGTTCTGAGCTCTCCCGGCTTAACCAAGGCCATCTCTTACTTCAATGCGCATTGCATAACTTGGATGCCCGCCATTCAAAACAGCTTGTCCGGGCTTCTTGTTCACTTGATGGCTGGAGGCAGCACATCAGTTCGAAGAATCCCAGACTTGAGAACTGTTTTACAATCTTAGATAGTCTTATTGAGACACTTAACCTGCCTAAAGTCAAGAATTCAGCCAAAGGGAAGGTCTTGATGCAGGCCATGTATGGAGTTAAGGTGCTAACTGTGCTTGTATGTAGCATCTTTGCTGCTGCCTTCGCGGGTTCTGTAAATAAGTTAGTGGATTTACAGGTTCATGAGACTTGCTTGTGGGCAGAAGCTTTTAAAGATGTTCAGGCTAATGTAAATGGGGAGATTAGAAATTTATTTTCCAGTGGTAGAGTTACTGTTTTAAAAGAGCTTGAAGCAGTTGATGTAAGTGTCAAAAAGTTGTACCCCATGATACGGGATGGGGTGGATCCTATTGAGGCTGAAGCGCTCCAATCTTCTATTTCAGATTTAGGAAAGAGGGCAGAGAAGCTTTCACAAGGACTAGATCATCTTTCGAAGCAAGTTGATGGCTTCTTCCAAATTGTTCTATCTGGACGTGATGCTTTGCTTTCTAACCTTAGAGTGGATAGTAGCATTGCTGATCCAAAGCAAGAGCTTAACAATGTACTGGGGCAAGTTGTGAGGTGAAATATGATGAAGTTAAACTCCCTCTTGCATACACAATGTAGGTATAGGTATGGGCTCTTTTGTCTTTCTGTTGATGAAAATATAATATGTACTATGGCATATTGTGTTTGGTATGGTGTAGCTTGTGAGGTGTGTTATGTTAATGTGGAATTGATTTATATGTGTGTGTGTCTTTATGTAATGTCATTCAATTATATAGAAGCCTTGTTTGTCACAAAACTTCATTATATATATCTTTAATTTTTCGTGTTAGTTTTGTATCATTTTCATTGAGTATTGTTCTGAATCTCCTGTTACTTTCTTTTGGGATGGATTTTGGGCCTCATGCTGCCAATCTATATCACTGTTTTGTTGCCATATAGTGTGGTGGTTTTGTGAAATAAATGTGCTCAAGGTATTTTCTTGATGTTGAGTCGGTGACTAAATGTTGTGCGCCAAATCTTGCTAGGCATTCCCTTGCATTTAACACGTGCGTGGGACTGTACCAGAATGCTGGTTTGGGCTTCCCTTGCAACGGTGCTATCCATTCAAGGTAGTACAATTTCTTGTTAATGCATACACAGTTTTACATTAACTTGAAGCTGATTGAATGGAGCTTATTGTTTGTTGAAGGGATTATATGTTGTGAAATGTAAAATGTTTGTCAGCCAGATTTTAGGCTTTAGCCCATGAGAGATAAAATCTGAAGGTATCTTTCAACCTAAAATACTCTAGATAATCTTAAAGCTGATAAGAAAAATTCTAAGGCATCTCTCAACCTTGAAAGCTGAGACTTGACTTGGCTTGGTTTGATTTGGTTTATAAATTTTGGGGGATTGGTTTGTAAGGGGCGATTTTAATGTGGATAGGTTTCTGTCCATAAAGCCTAATGGATTTTCGGTTACCAGAGGCATGAGAGTTTTTGATGTGTTTATTAGGTGGTGTGATTTGATTAGCCAATTTTTGTCTGATGCATAGTCTACTTGGTTACACTTTCAGTCCAATGTGGTGTATTGTATGCTATGTATTTCCAAATGTTAGGCAGTAAGCTATTTCTAGGTTACTTGTGATTTAATTATTTCTGTATCACTAGGGCGGCTTGTGATAGGTTAATTGAAGTATATGGAGAAAGAATTTTCTTACCAGCACATCTCAAGCATAGGTTACTTGTGATTGATAATTTCTGCTCCTAGAATGGCTTGTGATAGATTGATTGAAGTACGGAGAATGCTTGATCAAAGAATCAGTCACAAGGTTAGTTTTTTTTCTCCAACGAAGACAAATGAACACATACGAGTGGAGCATTTTCAAGGGTACTTGCCCCTGCTATAGCCTCGCCCTGATTATCATATTGGGAGAATTGTAAAAATCAAATAAGGGATAGTTATGTGTAGGTCTTAATAAGTGAATTTATTGTTTAATAGGTCTTATGGGAAAAATTTGTAAAATTTTTATAAAATTCATGATTAAAAAAAAAATTATTAATTGTCAATTTTTGATGACATATATAAAAAATTATTACAAAAAAATTATTTTTAGTCATAATTTTATCAAGATTTATTTTCAATGAGACTTGATAGGAATTAAGTCTAACTATTAAGATTTATTGGTAGTTTATCCAAAAAATGAATAAAATAATATTAAAATGAAATAATTATAGTGTCATGGAAATACATGTAACTTATACATTAACTTGTGTAACTAAGTTTTGTATTTTCATCTTTTTATAATTATTTTAAGTTTATACTATTCTATGGTAATTGTCTCGATAATATTTATTAAAATGCTAAAATATTATATTTAAAATTAGTTTTCATTCATTTATTTTTTATTTTATATCTTTGTACACTTATTAATTATAAATTATTTGGCTTAATATATTATATTATTTTTAATTTTTATAAGTATATCCATTACCCTACTAGGGATGCAATTGATATAAATTAAAAATTAGAAATTATAATGAAATATATGATTTAGAGAGTATTTGTGTAATTTATCCATGGTCTGAAACGTTAACATATGAAATTATTTACTGATATACCTTGTTAGTTTGTTAATGTAGGATAAGATTTCTCTCTAGTTGAAGAGAAGTTTTTGGGTGATTAGTGGAAGAGAAGTTCAATCCAGTCAAGTTGGGCTGGTAGGGTTTGAATCATTAGGGCCCCGTTTGTTTGGGGTTATAAGGAGGGGATTGGGATTATTAATCCCTTAAGGCCATGTTTGATTCACAATACTAATAGTGAGGTATTAATAATCCTATCAAATTAGTGTGGTATTAACTATCCCACCCCTACCCCATTACTAATAATCCTACAAATTTGTTGGATTAATTATCCATTGGATTAATAGTCCTAAACTATGTCAAAACAAACATAGGATGATTGGGCCCACGGATTAATAATCCTAATCCCATACTTTAATCCTTCCAATCAAACATGCCATAAGGGTGTGTTTGTTTTGAAGGATTAAAGGGTGGGATTGGACTATTAGTTCCACCGGACTAATAGTCCATTGTTTGTTTTATTTTTTTAATTCTGGATTAATAGTCCCCCGGACTATTAGTCCCACAAATATGAGACTATCCTATCCCATGAGGGAGGGTGTGATAGAAACCATGGGATTGGTATCCCATGAGATTATTTTGTAAAATATCCATTTTACCCTCCATGTTATTACTTATCAAACAATTAAAAAATGATAAAATAGTTTTTTGAACATTTATAAATTATTTTTTTAGTGTTGTTAATTTCAAATTATATAAAAAATTGTAATTATAAATTATAAATTATAAATTAAATTTAATTAAAAATAATAAATCATAAATTATGGCCTTATAAATTAAATTTTTTTAGTGTTGTTAAAAAATTAAATTTACATATTAAATTAAATTATTTTTTTAGTGTTAATTTAAAATTATATATTAAATAAAAAATATAAATTATAAATTAAATTTATTTAAAAATAATAAATTATAAATTATGGCCTTATAAATTAAATTTTTTTAGTATTGTTAAAAAATTAAATTTACATATTAAATAATTTTTTTTAGTATTGTTAATTTAAAATTATATATTAAATAAAAAATATAAATTATAAATTAAATTTATTTAAAAATAATAAATTATAAATTATGGCCTTATAAATTAAATTTTTTTAGTGTTGTTGAAAATTTAATTTATATATTAAATAAAATTATTTTTTATTGTCGTTAATTTAAAATTATATATTAAATAAAAAATATAAATTATAAATTATAAATTTAATTTAATTGAAAATAATAAATTAAAATATTAAAATATTGTGCAAAAAATAAAATAAAACAAATTTCTATTTAATCTAGTTAAAAATAATTAAACTATTAAAGTTATGTTTAATATTGCTATTACTTAGTAAATAATTGAAAAGGATAAAATAGTCATTTGAACATTTATCGTACTCCATAATATCCCAAACAAATATTGGATAATTAAAAATAGTCCAATCCAAACATTTTATCCCATGACTAAACAAACATAAGATACAAATTTAGTCCAACCAAATAGTCCCGGGACAATGTATCCTAGGACTAATAGTCCAATGAATTACAATCCCCCCTTATCCAGTCCGTCCAAACAAACGCACCCTGATATTATTAATAGGGTGTTTGTTTTGAGAGATGGGAATGGGACTATTAGTCCCTTGGTATTAGTAGTCCCCTTAGAAGGGGGATTGGTAAGGAGGAAGTAGAGATGGTATTAGAAAAATAGTGAGGGGATAAGATTTTTTTTTATTTTTTATATATTGGGATTTTTTTTTTTAAATATAATTTTAACTTTTTATATTTGTTTTATTATTTTATATAAAAATAATTTAACAATTCCTCACTATCAATCCTTCACTATCAATCCCCTCCATTCTATCTCTGAAAACAAACGGGGCCTGTGAGTTTTATTTGAGCATCTTTGATCTTTTATTTTTATTTTTATCAAATTTAAATTTAATAAAAAAATATTTAAAATTTATTTTTAATCATTTCATCAAATGTTCATCAAATTAGGACAAAGTTCACTTTTTCATTAAATTGAGAATTTATCAAATCTTTCATTAAATTTGAGAAGATGAGACATTGAAGATCATTTTTTTAATGAAATGATCGGGGTAGTTAATATTAGGGGTATTTTTTCATAAATTCTTTTTTATCTATTTATGTTCTATTTAATCCACTTTATTTTCTTATATTCTAATAAGACATAGTTATCAAAATACTCCTAATAATATTTACATTTACAGTGTGAATATTCTGTGATGTGAATGTTTACACCGTCAATGTAAATATTAACATGTCAATGTGAATATTCACATTGTAAAATATGAATGTTCACATCACTAAATTGCTAACCGTTCAAAAAATATTTGTAAGGGTAGAAATGTCCATAAAATACTTTAAATATGAGAATTAAGATTTGATAGATTAAATGTTCAAATAATAGGATTTATTGGAATATAAGAATATCTTATGAACTAATTGGGGTACAAACACCTAAAAATGAATTTTCTAATAAATCTCCCCTTAATATTAAAGCAAGAGGGAATTTTTTTTTTTTTTTTTTTGATTAAATAACGGGAGTAGTTCATATCAAATCAAACTTTTTACTCAAAATTGAAATAAACTTAGATGAAAAAATTGGTGAAGAGTTTGGAGATGCTCTTTTGGTGATTTTGTAGACAGAAGTATAGATTATTTATGAAAAAAATTAATTTAATCCAATAATTATAGCTAACACAATTTTATTAAATTTGATTTTAAAAAATATATGACAAGTATAATTTTAAAGAGAAAATTGGTGATAAATCTAATTTAGATAGTGTCCAAGGTAATAAGTCCAGTGAATATTTTTTGTTGGTGATAAGTTTACATTTTATGAAATAGTTTGGTGAGAAGTCATTTTATTGGTTTTAAAAGACATTTTGTTTTCAATTTTATCCCTGTTGACTTTTTTTCTCCATTGACTTTCGTTGACTATCTGAACAAATTCTTTTATCTGTTCAAAAAATTATCTTCTCTGTGAAATTTTTTATCATTTATCTTTTTAGTTTTTTCCTATCTGTTCAATGTTTGTCTGTTTAATTTTTTTAATCTTTTCAACTATTTGTTCAAATTATTTTTTATCTGTTCAAAATTTTCTTATTTATTTATTACAATTGTTTCCCTATCTGTTCAAGCTTATTTCACCTATTTGTCATTTTTTTTCTTTTTTCTTTTTATTTTAAATTTGTTGCAATATGTTTCTTTATCTACATC